GATATGTAAAACCACTAGGACCAGCATTGTGCGACGTCAGTGCTCCGTCGTAAAACCGGCCGTTCGAACCGCCTCAACTTTGAAAGACTTTCGAATAATATTACAACTTTTGCATCACGCTTGGCCGTTCACTTTCAACGCTTATAAGGGGGTTGTATGTGCCGTTTAGGACGCTGACTTTTCCTCGTTCACTCCTTTCTGCTTATTTGTTCTTTTGCATCTTAATATCTTTTTTGTATGCTTTTCTTTGAATTTAGAAATTATTTTGCGTGCATTGTTAAAAAATTAGCAATATTTTTGGACTGCTATATTGAAAAAAAATTACAAGAATTAAATTTTATTTATACGATAACTTGTATAATAATGAAGGATCGCACGTTAATTAATTAAAAATATTACATTTCGATGAAATCACAGTTAGTTTTCACATATAATGTAATAAACAAAAAATGTCATAGTTTTTGAGCTGTGATGTAAAACATTTTTTGTTTATCATTATATGTGAAAACTATAACTATTTCACTGGAACACAATTTTCGTAAAATTAATATGGAGTTCTCTTGATTATTTTTTAATACTTTTAATTTAACATATCTCTCTCTCTTTGAAACTCATAATTTTCAATACACGATATACATCTTTTTGATTTATAAGCAGGACTTCAATATTAAGCGGAAAAGTAGGTATCTTAATTTTTTATTTACTAAATGTGAAAATTATTTCCCGTATTTCCTACTTTATTATGGTAAACTGATTTGAAAAATTTATGTGAGAGCCTTCACGTATTTATTGCTATACATTTCCTTTAAGGATCTATAATTTGTTACTAATTGGTCTTAGTTGTTCTGTAGTAATTAATATGAATCAAGCCAGCGACTGGAACGGTACAATTTGTGAGGATTCTATAATTATTTTAATGAATTACGCATATATAGTTTTGTGCATATGCGCAAACTCATGCGATAGATGGCTCCATCAAGAAGGATAATAATATTACCATCGAGAAAACCGGTATTCTTAATACAAGTAAAATCTATGTGCTCCGTAAGCTTATATACGCATAGTTCATCATCGATGAATTACAGAGATTAAGTTAAAAAATAAAGAAAGAATGTTAAAATGATATACTATTGAAAATATTACAGTGAAAAACGGCAAGCAAACAGATGATTGATATATAGAAAGTCGATATATACAGAAATCATTTATTTGTAAAAGCAATGTCGGAGAATATAAGATTTTTTTATTAATTTGTTTGTTCCATACATCGAGGACATTGAAAGAAAAATTAAAAAAAGGAAGAAGTGAATGTATCCTTTTAAGATATGTGACTCGTAAATAAATTCCACTTTATATACGTTATTACAATTTTCACGTTGCGCTTCGATTTAAGTATGATATTTTTGTTTGGACTGCTATTATAATACACACATGTTTATACTTAAAACGCAGGCTCGATTTTAATACCCGACAACATCGATAAGTAATAAAAATGAAGGATAAAGATTGCACTTCCAGTTTTTCGAGCTTTATATTTGGCATCATTTCGATCCGCGATGGAGGTAGGTGACGTCACGTAATTCTAAGGCAACCGGAAGTTGTGGCGATTAAGTAGGAGCGAACACGCAGCTGCGAATCCTATTTCTGAGCACGTTTGATCCGTATCCGTTAATATTCTGTTACCCTTAATATGTATCGGTTGAAGTTACTATAAAACAAAGAAAATTAAAATCGGCCAAATCGGAGTCGGCGCGGTAGAATAAATATTTACTAAAACATATAATATACGTAATTATATCAACGATTAAAATTTCCATAATTGAATCGATATTTAATATTTCCGGACGTTTCGGCTATACATTTTAGCTATCCTCAGTAGAACATTAACGATCAATCACACAGTGTCCAACAGGAAGCACAATTATCCTTTGATTTGAATCGCTTTTTTACACAGTCGGTTTGGACTCAATAATCGAATTTTGTGAATTTTTCTTTAATCTCTTACTCTTCCTCTGTAAAAAGTAGTATTATAAACTGCGTGAAAATGTAAAAATCTCGAATGTGATTTCGTTTACAAGCGAGAATGTGGCGTTAAAAAAAAAACATGCGATTGCGGACACATCTCTCGCAGCGAAAGGATCGGGCGAAACGAGCATGTACGCAAGGCTATGCTGTTGGATGTAATTTACGAGGCAAGCAATATTTTTACGGCTGACTTACGAGTATTCTCTATGTTGCTTGGATTCATCTTCCAGATTGCATCTGGAATAAATCATTCCTATATCGAGTAGTGTCGTGTCTGAAAGGTCACCAACTTGCGCCTTCTCTAGTCTCGCAATTCCCACGTAATATCAAAGAAAGCGTTAATATCCTAATTAACAATATTGAACGATTATTTTTCGCAAACTTGTATAGTTAAATCTATTGCGAATGCAATCTTATATAAATATACCCGATTAAGTGTTACTCAATTCTTATACTTGCCATCTTTAAAACAATACATTCGTAAAAAATATGGACAAGTATTTTTTGCTGATGAGTACATATATATACATATGAAAATTCCACAAACAATCTTTACTGAGAATTATGTAATATAATATATAGATCGTTCTATTTTTCTTTTATCTATCTCTTTATATAAACATGATTACTACTGAGTATTTAAATGATAGTAGTTAAAAAGCAAGAAGGTTTTTTTGTATTTTTAATACAAGAAAGAAGAAACAAATCAGAGAACATTGTGCTTTTTGATAAATATCTCTTTTTTTGCTATTAACTGCAAAATTTATAGTGTCCAATTTTTTAAATCTCTGTATTTATATCTTTCCGTAATAAATAAATTTTTTATAATGTATATCGCCTGATATCGAGTTATCATTCTTGCATGCGTATTGATAACTGCACGGATGATATCTGCGCAGATGTGCCTTGGAAAGTTTCTTACTTACGACGCACAGTCCTTGATGGGAGTGAAGGTACGTAGAGAACAGAGACCCGTAATAAATCTTGAGAATACGCTTTCTGCGCGGGCACAAGTTGCAGTTTGTTGATAACCGCACCGCTTGCCCGGGGTGTACGGCATAAATATTAGAGTGGCCGATAATGTTTCGGACGTGCATTTGATGCAAAACACCAAGACGTTACTGCTAAGAAAATTGTTGCCTCAAGCATGATCATCGTACATAATCATTGATAGACCTAAATCGGAACTGAGCAAAATATTATATAAATATGTGCATGTGTGTGTGTGTGTGTTAAAATATATGTGATTACACACATACACACACATATTATATACACATATTTAATTTTCTTGTTAGGAAACAAAAGAATAAGTAAGAATTGTCAGAGCTCTATTATATGTGCTTTATTATTTTTTTTTATTCGGTTCTGGAAATATTAAATATTATTTAAAATTATATGTTCATTATTGTGTTTTTTAATATAAGTGCAAAAGTTACGTATGGATTTATAAAATAATAACCAAAAACAATTACAATTCATAAGTACATGTTACTATATTTATATATGATGCATTAAACGAACAGGTTATGCAATTGAAAAATTGTATGAAATATAATTTCTAGATCCGAAGTTTACGATGGTGTAAACTTTAACTGCGATTATTTGCTTCAAGAGTATTAATAATAGACGAAATCACTGATATGTCGTAAAACTCACTGATGCTTTTAGTATCAGAAGCATTGAAACTTCTTAAAGACGAGCTAATATAAAATATAAAATAAAATAACTATGCAGAGATGTTATCCAAAATTATGACATGTATTAGATGCGTTACAAATCAGTCTGCATAAAATATCAGCAGAATACATCTCCACAATCAAACAATATCACTTGCAACAAATTAAATATAAAATTATTGGATTTAAGTGAGAATACTGTCGCTTTGTGAATTGAAATTGTTTCACAATCTTCAGTATATAATAAATTCTGCAATCTTACGCATAATTCACCGTAATTTTCAAGTACCCTCGTAATCAGTATGCACGCGTAGTAAGAGCCTACCGCAATTAAGTAACTTGACGTAATTTACGTCTAAGTCATACAAAATTTATGTCTCAAATTAAAGGATAAAAACATATCGTGTTACAGATTTACGATATTTTTTTTTAAAAGCTTATAAATCTAAATTATCCCTTTTTTTAGTCTTACTTTTTTTTTAATTAATTTTGAAATAATAAACATTGGATTAGCTTTGAAACATCTCAATTAGTATCATCCTTGCAGTATATAATAGATAAATATGAATCATCTTCCGAATTCACGTAAATGCGCGAAGTGAGGATTTTTTAAAATAAAGTACGCGATGTCATTTTAATAACGTTATAACAAGTTTAATTCAGTTCAATAGATACTAGAAGTCTATTTCGACAGTTAAAGGGGTAACTAATTTATAATAGAAGAAAGAGAGATCACTTATAATACTACTAACATTATGTTACAAAGAAAGTTTAAAAAAAAAAAAGGAAGCTCGATATTTTCTCTCTTTAGATATAATTACTTATTAAATACCGTAACCAAAATCTCAAAATTTAGAAATGTTTTTTAAATTTGATTGAACCTAGCAATTAATCTAAAAATTAATGAGATATTTTGTCATACATTTACAATAGGAAATAATATTATAATAAAATAATCGGAAAATACTAACTAAGTAAAAAAAGAAAACTTTCCTCTTACGTGACACTTTTGTGAGATGACATAGTATTATATTGCTATTGTACTAGCGAATAGTTTTTAATCTGTTAAAAAATTTAAAGTTTCTTGTGAGCTTTTTCTGAATTAGATCAATTGTTGTTATTTTTCTTTCTTAAAAACTTATGTTGCGAATTAATTACCAACAAGAGTAATTAATTCACAACATAACCTGTAGGTAAGATATACGGTTTGCATTTATTGTAATTATCTTTATCATTATTAAAATAAAATTATTTTAATAATGTAAATCAAATTATTCTTTTTTTCTTCTTTTCCAGTCATTTATGAAGAAGATCCAATGTCATTCATGACATTCCAACAAGCGACATGCTGTTATGTCCCGCCAACAAACGTCTTGAACACTCCGTACAAGGAACAGCTTATTGGAATAAGCTCACAGTATCCATTTCAAAATTTGGATTACGCATCCCAAAATTTGCCAATTTGGTCCTCTAATTTCTTATCAATGACAGCGACAAATACGTCTCTTGAAACACTTAAATCTCCTTCTGAACTATCTACTGAATCTTTTAATGATCCTTTTATTAATTCTCCTACTGAACCTTCTACTGATCCTCCTAAGGAATCTCCTCCTAATTCTCCTACTGATCTTTCTGTTAAATCTTCTACATACTGTTGGTAAGTCTACTTTGTTATCTTATTTTTTCATAATTTTGATAAAAAAATATTATACAGACATAATTAGTTATGCTAATTTAAATATTGAATATTTGGAATACTGAAAAACTATCTTATTATTTGTCAGTTACATGCAAGACGTCTGATGAAATCAAATTTGCTATAAGCGTTAAGTGTGTGGAAAAGGATTAGTTTTCGGTTTAGAACACATAAATCGTGGTTTCCATTATTTCTGGTGTTCTTCCTTTGTTTGGATCGTCAAGAGACATCGAAAGAGGGTCGTATTTGCAAATCCAGTGCACATAAAACAGAAGCTATAAAATTTCCTTTCGTCCGAGAGTTAAGCAAACCGCGGCATTTAGATCAGCAAAGGGCTGCTCATCTCCGTCCATTACTCCACCTCTTTTACTTTTTTTTCTTTATTACAGGACATTTTTTATTAAATTTCTGACTTTTGGCATCTGTAATTATTATATCAAAAGCAATCATTTTTTATTTATCGCGCTAATATAATTGTTACATAATATTGTCAAAGATCAAATTCATTGATATGTTAAGAATTATAATCAGTATTAGCAACTGATTTTGAAAGATTATAAAAGATTATGAAAGGCATTGAAGCCGTCAAATTGCATCAACTTACATCTTTAGAATGAATGGCAAATTATACTGTAGTGAATTTTATATTACGTTTTCTTCAAAGAAATCTTTATTAGTATCAATTTTGCTATCTTCAAAGCAGCCGCTCAAGAAATAATGCATAAAGCGTGCGGGAACTCAAAGATGCGTCGCGTCGGTTGTTCCACCTTCCCAGTTCCAGCTTAAACGGTGGCGACACTATAAAGAATCGAATTTATGAGTGTTGGCCAGTTTTCTCCATCCCATTTTTGTCCATGACGATACTCGGTTATCGTCCTTATTCGCCAATTTGAAGAAAACAACTTTTGCTATATGTGAGAAAGCAGGACTCAAATCCGACGCCAGTCGGCTATCTGGGATTACGCGTGTTGCCTTAAAGATAAGCTGTCTACGGTATTTACATTTAATTCGTTCTCGTATATTTGCTGGCGCCCCAAGGAGATTGCGGCAAGTCTTGATTAATTACTGATACATTCTAGAAATTCTCGTATTTCGCGTAGTTTGCATATTTAGATAAACTTTGAATGAATGCATGTACATGAACGTATATATTTATTAAATGATTAATTACAAAATTTATACATCCGGGAAAAAATGAATTTCAAATTGTAAAGGCGTGAATTTAAATTATTGCTTTTCATTACATAAATATATATAGAATTACTTTAATCAATTTAAATTATTTTTACCTTTTACATTTACTAAATTTAAAATTATGAAAATATTGTTTTAGACTTTAAAAATGATATACTACTTGTAAACTTTGTATTATTTTTCAGTAAAATTTACTGAAAAGGAACAATCTTGTGCTATTTATAAACGATAGTGATTTTTTATTTAAAAAAGAGTTAATAAATTCTTAGTTATATACACGATTTTCTCACATTAGGAGTGTTCGATCTGTATCGAAAAAATGTGTACGCAATGCAAAGGAAATGAAGAACAAATTTAATTAGACGTTCTTCGAACTAACGTAATAAGATACGTCACAACAGGATGTATATTTTTCTTTTCTTAATCTTATATAGAATTGACAAGAAAAGTGGCGTATTAATTCGGTCACGAAATAACGCATGCTCTGATATGGAAATACAAGGGAGTAAGATGGTGACAAGTTGAAAAGGAGTCATAAAATATCGTCATGCAAGATGTCATTAAAAAATCTTAATATTGACGATGCATTCTCCTGTTTAGAGAATAATGTTAATAGGAATTAGTATTCATTTATGTTTAAAATAGTTCCTCGAATGCTCTAGTCACTTCCGGCAGGATACTTTAATATGCAAATATAATAACTTCTATTTGTTTTAGATATGTTTAAACAATCGGTATCGATCATTTTATTATATACACAAAAAATCATTTTATTGTAAAAAAAAATAATGACTCAATTTATTTTTTTATTTTCAAGTAACGGTTATCTTAATTATTTTTTTATAATAATCTTAAAATGTACTATATATATAAATTTTAGAAAAATTATTATTATGTACTCAAAACAAAAGATTTTTTTTGTGAGGAATATTACAAAATTGATCAAAGAAACTTTATATAACATGCAAATCGAGTTTGTTTTATAATAAACTTACTAGAGAGAGAGGCTTTATAGAATATATTTTGAATAAATATGATGCTTTTGATAAATTTATGATAGATTTGCGGATATATGAACTTTCGAAATATTTGAAACACGTAATTATTACTTGCATATAGTATGTGTATGATACTGTACATACATATACGTGTCTAAATTGAGAAAAAATGAAGATACTTCTTCGTAATATAATATGTGGTTACATTTGTGGTATGTTTCCGCAAACCGCAGCATCTTCATTTTCGTCATGATAGAAATGCAGTTTCACCATGCTATTCATGTATGCGAACGTCTCAATCTTCCGCATGGGGTAGCGGTTATACTTAAACATTCATAAATTTTCACGGTGAAAATCACTGATGTATCAGTTCGTGTCTAAAATTCTGAAAAACTTGTACGGCGCAATAACTAGTTGTCCTTATCATATGAATTATTTAATAGTTGATACGATAGAGTATACAGAGGAGGGATAAATCCAGATTTATCGGATGCATGCGATCCGTCGTTAGAGTCAAGAGGGCATCAACATTGCGGCGTAATGTGATCGTAAAAGAACCTAAAAATGCACGGCTAAACGGCACGCGGCGATATCCGCGATATGAAAATGGAAGCGGTAATTAAAATGTCGGCAAGGTTTGTCGGCTATCTCGGATACTGATTGCTTCCAGTCTGTGATTAGGGCTGTTAAAAATGAGTCGGTCTCTTCATCGAACGCTCGCTCTTCGTACTGACTATGGCCGAACGATGGAATCTGGTGATCAGTCGCGCACTTGACTCTTTGCTTACACTTGTATAATGTAAACACACACACACACATTCATATATATCTCTCTTTTCTTAATGTAGGCGATAAGCGATGCTCCGAATTTTTATTGGTTTTGTATTAATTCTTATCGTTATATATTTTTAAAAATGTTCGCAATATAATTTATAATGCAACAGATACAATTTCGCATTATGATGTTTTTTTTTCTATATATAAAAATATATAATCAAGCGATATATTCGTGTGATATACGATTTTTCTTGATGTTTTTATTTTAAATTATAACCGTGAATCGATTCGGCGAAATATTCTCGGCAACCTTTGCGTGCAACGGACTCATTAGAGCAATTACATACGTTAATACTCGTTTCTCGACTCGTCGGCGCAAAAAAATCGATCGTCGTCGATTTAATGTCACATATACGACAGAGCGAGGATCGCTTCTAATAGTTTCGTGATCGCTTCTAATAGTTGCAGCAAGCGTTCGGCGAATCGTCGGAAGAATTAGTCCCGCTTTTGCAGTAAGCAGCATCAATGTAATCAGACAGGTTGCTCAGAGTGGCCTTAACGACGGTCGTAAACGCGGTTCTCTTTACAGCTCGGTGGGTATTTTTTCTTTTTTTTTTACGGTCTTCTCCTTCTACCTCGTCATCGTCGTCGCTGCCTTCTTATTCTCCTTAAAACCCTTTCTACGTTTACCATTGCCGCAAAGCCGTAAGTGAGGCAAACTCTTCTGCTTATTTTGCTCCGGGTGCAGTAAACTACCAAAGTTTATGTGACAGATGTTAGAGAGAAGTCGAAGTAGTCTTACGGAAAGTCAATGATCTAACTAAAATTTTCACAAATCTATTTTTAATAAGTCATTAATTATAATTATAGGATAAAATTGCTATATTTTACTTTCAATTAAATGGTTGGTTAACTAAACTTGAGGTTAAATAATCATATTGAGTGTTATTGATGACTCTTACATATAATTACATTGTTGCTCTTATTAAATTTTTTAATTCTTTATTTTTATATAATTTTTTCAATCAAATTGTATGTATATCGTGATGCCTCATATATAATTTTTTTTTTTAATATCAAATAAGTAAAATCTCTATATATATATGTGTGTGTGTATGTGTAGGTATATATAAACTTATTATTATTATTAAATTCATAATTTTCTTACATGACATTTCTATGTAACGTATACGTGTGTAATATATCATATACTCTTACACAAGATAATCAGACTTAATAGAGACGTGTATTCAAAACTCTCCTCGAAACTCTCTATTCCCTATTTAAAGACAATCATGACTAATTAAAAAAAAATAGCAGTAATAGCTCTTGTAGATTATCCGTTTGTATTGCAGTTTATTGTTCAATTTGTTTATTTTATTAATCATCAATAAAACAAAACGCGTCGTGGTTGTGATGTAATATTTTGTAGGTAAATAATTGCTTCTTTTAATTACTAAAAGATAGTTATTAGTTTTAATAATTTATGTTATTGTAGGTAATTATACTTTACAACATTATATATTTAGTTTATATTTTTTTCATAACGTCTTGTTTATAATCAAAGAGAAGAAACTATTTGCAAGATAAAATTCACATAGCCAACTTAAGCATACCAAATATACATACATCGATTGTGATATTTTTTGGATTTTTTGTTGCTTCTTGTTATTTCAGATCATAAATTCTAATTTATCTGTTAAATATCTTGAAAATAAATAGATTATAAATAAATAAGTAGATAAATCCATGTTTGGAAAAATATATTTTTCAATAAATGTATTTTTGTATGTCAATTAATATGTCAACATGTTAATAAGCTTATAAAGTAAAGACATTGGATCATTTTGGGATCTTCCATTTAATAATTTAAGTTGACACACACACAAATAGTTTTATCATTACTCATGAAATGCAAACAAAGGTAAAGAGGCATTTATGTCACTAAATGAAAGGGATCCCTTAGTTTTCATTTTTCTAATATACTCGTTT